CCTCGCGCAGGGCGCCCCTCGCACCCCGCTCCCCTCGAGTGCGGGGACTACGTCCTGTGCAGTCGTAGTGCCCCATCTTCTCACTTCCTCGGGGATTTCTAGATCCTACTCACAATAAGGTACTAAACATTGATCAGCATACGTTTATACCCATGCTATAGGAGACAGTATCCAAAGATTTCTGCCAGCTCTCCTATACGCTGCCATCACACAGAGAGGGCTTCTGAGGGTCCCAGGTTCGGTAAAAACTCTAATAATCAGGCAAGCAAAGTTTAGGAGGCCTCCCAGCCCGCTGGGCAACAATATAGCAAATACTCGGAAAAGCAGGCTTCCTGGCATGTAGTATGTTTATAACTATAACGAATGACTTTCATGTCATTTGGAAAAAATATTCTATAAAATACTAAGTGAGATCTTTAGCTCCTCTGTGCGGCAGCTTCACTCAACCTCAGTGAATTCCCCCATCTCCACTGCAGGGCTGAGCCTGGCCAGGACACGAGGGCAAGTTTTACCAAACGGCAGCCAGGGCCCACAGAGAGGCAGCTTTTCATCACAGGGGATGTGGGAGGGCAAAGCCTCTCATCTATTCTTATTTAAGAAAACCGTATTAAAAACTGAAGTATTAATTACCAGTAATTTCCACCAGGTAACATGGATAAACTCAGAGGAAGAAAAAAAAAGTGTATTTTAATTATCAAACTCCAAACTTAAAATATCATTGCCATGATATGGTCATTAGCAAACTCCCACTTTGGCTGGAAACAGTTAAACACTCTCCATTTTTCATGTCCACTGCTCCCACCTGCACCTTTTGGACTTTCAAGAGGTGGGAGAGCAAGCAGCAGCTGTGGTATAAGGTTATAAACCTTTGAGACTTTCAGATCTAATCAGCCTGTGGACTGAATCATCTGTAGGGCTAGAAATGAGTCAGCCTGCTGAGCACCTCAAAGAAGCAAAGGTGATAATGAGTCCAAGCCACATTCACACCTCCTGCAATCACTCCTGTTTCCAGCAGTCCTTGGGTGTGCGGCCATTTGGGAAATATTTGCAACATTAATTACTGTACAGCCAAATAACCCTCCAGCAATTCAGGGCAGTTGGGACACAAAAATTAAGTCATACTTTTAATAAATGACATTGTCACGATGACAATTATTTAATAAAAGTGTTATTCATCTTTAGAAAAAAATGCTGATTAAAATGGGGGCTGGGGAGGTTCTGCTCCTTCTATTGCACATAGCAATTTATTACATTTCTTGGTTTCTCAGATGCCACAGTACTCTACTGCAAAATATTAATAGCGGGATATATATATATAAAAATAATATATATATGACTGTGAACCATTACCTGAAAGTTTATATGAGACGGGCCATCTATGTTCTAAACTGAGCAACTGCTTAAAAGGATTTCTGGTATAATCAGATAATGAAGAACCTGTTTTTACAAAATATAACATATTACATAATATAAAATATATTTTTTATATTTTTATATTTTGCCTCTTGTTATTCTAATAAAAACAATGTGAAGTAAAAATGAGATCAAAGTCACAAATAATAATGCTGATAAAAAGTAGGAATTTCTTGGTCCTACAAGTTACGTTAAAAACTATTTTTAAAAGATCAGAGGATGCTACAAAACAAGCCCCCTTCAGAAAGACAGTGTTTCATCCTCCATTATAGGATTAGAGGTCAAACAGGACTGTTTGCAACAGGAGGGAACCAAGCACATTTACCAAATTTTACAAGTCTTTTGAGTCTTTCTTTAGATGTAAATGAGTAGTTGGACACTTTCTGGAGCACACAGTAATGGCCAGGTGCTTTGTTTGCTTGCTTTTTAAAATTATGTAGGGCAGGAGGAGCTTGAAGATGACTTGTCCTCAATAAAGTAACCAGGCATAACCACCAAGAGCATCATTGGAGCTTCCCCCTTGGGCAGGCCAGGACTTACAGTGGAGCAGAAGACGCACAGGGCAGCCACGTGCTCGCATCTAGACTCAAGGGGAGCAACAGTCTCCCTCTGCTCCCACTCTTTACGTAGCAGAACAGTTAACTGGAAGAGCCTGAGGGAAATAAACAATTTGTTCTCGCTACCTGGAAATAGTTCACTGCTGATCTGAGAAATCAAGAGCTGGGATTGTACTTCACAAGGAGACCAATGCTACTACTTGTCAGGCCTGAACAGCAAGCGCAGTGCATGTATGAACACTGATGCCCTATGGCTTGATCAGCGAGCAAAACAGCAAGAACAGTGTCAGCTGCTGGGCACTAGCATTTATTAACTGGAAAACCCATCTCTTAATGATATTGACAGTAATTTGTCTTTTTTTCTCATCTCCCCTACTCGAAACAACTGAGGAATTCAAATGCACAAAGTTTCACCTCGAGATGACAGTCTGAAGGCAAGTTTCACTGGTAGGGTTAGAAACTTTTTTCTCCCCAAGGAAACACCCTGCCTGTGCAGACCACCATGTAACATGTGCATGCTAGAAAGGAAGGGAGTGCATCTAGCCACTCTACTGACTTCAACTCATGAGGGGCCCATTACTGATTAGCTGTCCATAGTAACCTCCAGATCTTAGATGTTCATGCAGATGAAACTGTAAGTGGAGGAGGGAGAGTAGATGAGAGAAAACATGGGCATGAACATTGCCAAAACCCTTGCCACAGGAGCTGAAGTAGGAGCTCAGGTGAATGACCGACAGAAGTGACTCTGGCTCTGCAGGGACACACACGATCAACCAACCGAGTTTTCAGTGCCACACTCCTGCTCTTCCTCACAACCACACAAGACCAGTATGTTCCTTTCCCTTCTGCATTTCACTCCACTCCTTTTGCCCTTTGATACAGACACCAGTCACTCATGCACACCATTCTCTCAAACCACACTATGAAGTACTTGCTATTATGTGACCATGTCAACCACATACACAGGCACTCATCAAGTGAGGAAGCGCCTGCGAGGGCAAGGAAACAACACAGCCTTTCTTTCCCTCCCGTCATGAAGAGAAATAAGAAATTATGATTAGCCACCTTAGGCATTTTTTAATATTCTGATTTCTTCTCCCTCCTCTGCTGTTGGGTTTTAGGGGGAGCAAACAAGCCAACCAATTGGTCTGAGGTTGCTGAAACCCTGCAGGCAAAATAACAAGAATAATTTCATACAAACTCATAAAGGGGGCAAGAATTGAGATGGCAAGAACCTCAATCCCTAGTTTTGCTTCTCTTTGGAAAAAGAAGCCTGTAAGAACATACATTTTAGATCCAGAATAAGGAAAAATAATAGCTTTTCAGGCCAATAGTTGAATCTCATCTAAACTTCACATTTTTAGCAGCTGGTGGCAGTATTTCATTTAATGGAAACCCTTATTAAGTTATATCATATTCTTGAATAGAGGGGCATTTTAAGCCTTCTGCCAAATGAGGAGTTTGCAGCGCTTACCAGCAGCACAGACTGTTCAATGAAAATACTGAATTAAGAGGCACAGGCAAAACCCCAATCGTGCAGATCACTCCTGTGTTTTTCCTACTACAGACCAGTTTTCCATAGCAAAGCAAAGTCCTTACACAGGCTAAGGGCTTTATTTCTTTAGCATGGCAGCATCTCAGCGTGGATATATGCATGCTATAGACTTGCAATCTGATTTTAAAAGTTCATCATCACATAAGTTGGGAAGCAGAAAAAATATTTCTAAAAGACTCCACAGGGTTGGTGGGGACTAAAACATTTTGAAAGACTCACTGGCTTTAGATTAAGAATAACACAATGAAAATATGTGAAGGATCATGTTGTCTCTGCAAAGGCTGCAGAAAAACAGTTATGAAAAGCACTATGTTTCAGCTGAAACTAAATACCAGCAAATTGCACCTAAGTCTCGAACTTAACCCAGTGTGACTCAATAATATGGAAAAGAGTAGTTTAAACAAGCGTGTAACCCATAGCACTTACCAAGTAGAACTGATTCTTGGCCAAGAAGTTTCTGATACTGCCTCCTCCAGTCTCTAAACAAAACTATGCAGGTTAGGGAGACTATCATGGCACATTGACATCTGTGCAGTGCCCTGACAGGCACTTAACAGCCAGATCAGCTACAGACCATTTTCCTTACCTGTGCTTTGCCTCCTCAGCATTCAAAGTACAACTTTTCCAAGAACTTGATTCATTCTCTGCACTATGCATCAATCTGATCAACTCCTTACACTTGAATTTTTGAGAACCAGACTCAAGCATTTGCTTAGGAATATTAAAATTATCTCAACTCACAATGAGAAGATTGATATCCTCATTTGACTGACCACTATAACCCAGGGTGTTAAACTCCAGTAGTTCTGTGATGCTTGGACTGCAGGTAATATAAAAAAATCCAAAATACAAACAAAAAATGTGAATATGAAAAAAGGACATGCAAAAGAAAAGACTGCTTCCATCCTGAAAAGGGCAATTAGAATCGAGTACCCTGAATGTTAGAAAAGAACAGCAGCAGAGACAAAACCCCAGCTGGAGAGGTTATTTCCATAAGGTAAACAGGTCACATGAAACACTCATTGCACCCGAAATAGGTTTTGAAAAGCTTTTAGCACAGAAAATACAAGAGGGTTGAGTGGAAGAGTGAAATATTAGTCTGCTCATGACATCAGGAAGCCTGCACTGGCATAGTTGTTAGGGAACACTAGTGGATGACAGAAAGGAGATGTTATAGACCGACCCTTCAACAGCTTGAGGTTACCTTAAAGCTTGATGTTGGAGGAATTAGAAATACAGATTTTCATAGACTTGTTGCATGATCTTCTCTGAAATAACCAGATTCCTTTTATTTTCTACAGCACCTAAACAACCTTCAGGAGATTAAAAAGAACTCCTCTTTCCCCAGCTTTACTAAAGCCAATTTTATTTCCACACATTTAGATAAAGATATATCAGGTGACTGAGTATTTCCCTCTATCTCTCACACAACCTTCAACAAATAATCAATAAATCAATAAAACATAGCTTTTAAAAGATGTATTTTTTAAAAGGCTTACTTCTTTTTTGTTCTCCATGAAGAAATACAAGTGTTTCATACCAATCTCATATACCAATCTCTTTGATACCAATCTCTTGTACTTTAAGCATGAAAGCAGAAAAAACTTAGGTTGCTCTAACTGCACAGTACAAGATACTCTGATTTCAGTTGAGCACCAATCATCTTATTTGTAGATTGATATAAAAATACTTCTAGTTGCTTTAGCTTTTTTTTTTTTTTTTTTTTTTTTTTTAAGTTTGATTGTTCTTTTTAAAATAAAAACATTCAATTCTATTAGCTTTTGAATGGACAAACACTTTTAGCAATATGCTTTTAAACGCCTGTAATTTATAGCATATATCATAACAAAGAATCAAAGAAAGTTAAAAAACAAGTTTACATTTTTTTACTTAAAAAAATAAGAAATGCAATACAGAACATACTGAAATGATAATTTTTAAACACAAACAATATATATAGTGTTAACAATATGCAAAAGCACTAAGCAGCAGATTTTTTCCCTTTGTGATACTACTCCAGTAACTTTTTAGATCCTTGTAGACCTAGAACTACACGGAGTTGACACTATGAAAAGATCTGCAGTTGAAAAATTGACTCAAACTATCTTCTATTCCTTTGAGCAATTGATATGGGATTCTTCTTGTGCTTATTAATAAGTTATTGTAAATTAAATCCCAATTACCATATTATTTACTTTCCTACAGGAAGTCATTTATATAAAGATAACAGTGTTATCTGACAAGCCAAAAGAACAGGCAACTAATACATTTCCACAGGCAAAAGAATAATAGCAAACCATACACATATTCTTCTTATAAAGAAAAAAAATAAGATTTATAAGTGTTAAAGCACTGTAGTACAGTTTTAAACCACAAGTAATGAAAAAAATATCTGCAAGGCATTTCACCAAAACCACGCTGCAATCAAGGGAACCAGCCCTATTACTGTGTTATAAAACTAGACTATAGAGGGCTCTCCACTTCCCTACGCACGTTTTCTTTCTAAGAATGAGTAATTCTGTTAACTCCTAAAAACTTTCCATTCCAAGACTTGATCTAAAGCACATTAAAGTTTACAGGCACCCCCACCCCAACCCATTTTTCTTGGGTAACTTTCTTTTAGCTAGAATTGTGCTTCTCCCTCCTCCTGGGAGTAGCAGAATGTTTGGCCTGAAAACAGCGAGTATTTGAGATCAGCTTGTTCTCAAACTACCTGTGGTAGCTAAGTGTTTTTAAAGCGTTCACTTTAAAACACTCTCTCTCTCTCTCTCTCCACTCAAGCACAGACAGACTCCAAGCTATTACATCAGCTGCAGCCAGGAGAGGCTGAACTTCATTTGCAGGATATTCTTTTTAACACTGTGGAGTGAAAGCTGCCAACTCAGGCACAGACCAGAAGGACTGTCACCCCCCAGCAAACAGCCACCTCACTACTCCTTCTCCTCAAGCCACATGCCTTCTGCTAGACCTGCACTGCAGTCCTCACCTTTCTGGGACAATAAGGAAGATATTTCCCTGGGGGTTCTCGAAGCCAAACTGATTTTCCCAGCCTATGCTTTGTGCACTGTACAAAAATGGTATCTGTAACATTTTCTCCTTTAAATATTTGTGTATATTATGTGTATATTTCCTTTATGAACTCCAATTGCTGCATAAATGTGTAAAGTCATAAATATTGTAGGGTTATAAGAAATAAATTACTTGGAGGCTCAAGCACTTTATCAGAAATATATGCACTGACTTTGTAAAAACTGGTTACATTTTACATTAAGCAAAATACTGAATAAACTTTTCTGATTAGGAAGATCTAAAATAAGAGTGGTTTTCCCTGTAAATTTTACTGCAGAAGTCATCTGTATGACTTGTACTTAACCCTCTTCTCATGCAGCATTACAGTAAACCCTCCCCCCCATCCCACAAAACAAAACCAAAAAAAAAAAAAACCAAATATTCCACTAGCTGTTACAGATTGCACTTTTAAAGCACAGACTTGTCAGTCTTCTGCATCTTCAGTGTCCTGTTTAAATAGTTTTGACATATACAGTCTTCATTTTATGAAACAGGAAGATTTCGCCTAAGTACTTCTTTAGATGCTGGAGATATGTTATCTGGGAATATTACTTCAAACTCTATAATTAAGTCTCCACGTTGGTCAGGATTTTTGGGAAATGGTAAGCCATATCCTATAATTCTTCTCCTCATTCCAGGCTTTACAACTTCATTTACTGTCATGGGTATGGTTCTTCCTTCTATTGTCGGCACGTGTATTGAACTGCCACACAAAGCCTAAAGAAAGAAAAGGGACCGTGAGAGAAGGGAAGTGCTCACGTTGCACACACCAACTGCATGGGCATTTGAGACAAGACTAGTATATTGTAAAAGGAGCATTTCCACTGCATGCTGCTCACATGACAACATTCCAAGAGGTTTCCTCCCTTAAAGGAATGTTTCAGTGTGCCACCGAGCATTACAATCTTCCCATTTTACAGAATGGCCACTGGAAGGCGATTAAGTCTATATATCCTTCCAAATTTTACCAAGCAGCATGGCAGAAAAGCAGAGTGAACACACTTCCCACAGTTCTTCAATCCATATGTTTCGACAGTTGCCAAACTTCTCAGCTTCCACTGGAAATTTAAAATCTTCTATTATTTACATTGTACAGGGATTTACTTAATACACCATCAATCTACATTACTTAAAACAGCAAAATAATATATAAGTATCCAAAATCGTAAGCGCATTAAATTTGATAGTCTTTTTAGGTGGGCATTTGTGATGCTCAAAGAAAAGCAAAGATAGACTTGGTGTGCCCACATATATTAATTAGGACTGCCATCACTAGAACAAAAAGACTTTCTCCTGCTTTACCCAGTGATTTATTTTCATTACTCTGATATGGTATTCTGATTCTTCCAACTTCACCTGATGCTCCACACTTTATATACACTGGTAACATTATTATGTAGCAGCGCAATGAGTCTGTCTGTCTTTATGTGAAGGAATATACTAGCCACATCATCATTAAATACCCTCTCCTCCCTCACCTCAAGAGGCTTGAACTTTTAGAGTTGTGTCAAAAGAGACTTACCTCCCTTAAGCTGATCTTAACAGGATAGATTATATTTGATCCATCTCTCTTGAAGTGTGAGTGAGGTTTATCTTTAATGATAAAAACAATGTCAGCTGGAATTGTGTTGGGTGTTTCATCACCTTCTTTTGGAAAAGTAATTTTGGTGCCTTCCTTCCATCCTCTTTTTATCTCAATAGTGAGAATTTTGTCCTCTGTTCGGACACTTCTACCATCTGGGTTCAGCCTTTTACGGGAAATTCTCATCCTTTTTGTGCAGCCATGGTATATCTCTTCCAATGACACTTTAAGTTCATGGATGACAGGGGGATCTTGTTTACGACGTAACTGGCTACCAACTGTATTCCTTTCTCTTGGAAAACCATTCATACTAAAACTAGTGAAGGATCCAAAGGGATCCCCATCCACTTCCATGTCTTCAGTGTCTCTGCCACCAGGCATCCTCCTTCCAAAGAAGATCTCAAAAGGATTTGAGCCACCAAAGAAAGCTGCAAACGTAGCATGTGGGTCACCATGGAATGAATATCGAAAGGTACCACCCTGCCCATCAGGTCCTCCAGCTCCTCCTTTTAGACCTAAATAAGACAAATAAAGTAAGTGAATATTAGAAAGGAATATCAGAATCTGCAAGTCAAAAAGGTTTTTGCAGTATAATGACAGAACTCTTCAAAAAGGATTCACTATCAGACCAAGGGGTGTCAATTAGTACTACAATATAAAGCTGAGAAGCCTCTATATCCCTTTTCCATCAAGCTACATAGAGAAACAGCTTGAAAGTTCCTGAAACCTACATAGTCAATGAAATTGTCAACTTCTCTGTGCAAAAACCAAACCAACAAAAAAAATCCTGCCACAAAACCAAAAACCTTTGCTCTACCTCTTCTTTCTCAGAGATTTACATTCCATTTCTTCCTGATAAATGTTCTCAGTGATTTTCAATGATGGTGAGTCCTTGAATCCTTTGTACTTTCTGTTCCCACATTCCAAATCTGGCTAAGATCAGTTTCTTAGTGTCTCCTTCATGACTGGTGATCTCTACCTTCTCCCTACTACTTAGCCCTCTCCTACAACTTCTAAGACTAAAACCTTAGTCTAAGTCTTCGTCTTCTAAAACTTAAAAACTTGAAGTCTTGCCAGAGATGTTGATTTTTAAACTGATTGTCTGTCTTTTTTTTTTTCTTTATTTTACAACCGCTCAGCATTACAGAGATTACTCTGTTTCCAGGGCTTACATTAAGGAAGCATATACATCCTGTAAATCTGAACTGCAGAAGTTTTTTTGTTTGTTTTTTTTGCTCAGTGTTGTAATACCTGTCTGCATAAGCTTAATACCAGCTATCACGAGTAACCAAATGAAACACAAGAATGTGTCCCATATAATATTAGTCTGTATCAGAAATACTTAGCAACGTCTACTGCATCTTTATGTCACTGCACTTTTAATATCACACAAATACATCAGGGGATCTGATCTGCCAGTGTATGGCAACAGCAGGACATCTTCTGGAAGAGCTGACCAAAAGGTCTTACTGAAGGTTCAACACATTCCTGCGGGCAAAAACAACAGAGGTTTCCTCCTCTTTACTCTACAACTGCTAATTACATCGTCAAAAGCAATTGAGGAGCTTAGAAAGTTACTGAGGTATTTCCAGATTCACTGTTATGAAAAGCTTAATTTAATTTTGTGCACAAAACAGAAATCTATGTTTGATTCTCTGGCCTCAGGTAAGCAATACTAGGAAGCCAAGGGTCACACTGGTTTATATGCCTTAGTTCAAGGTCCTTGGAAAAAGTGACTAAAATGATATTTTGGGAAAGTGGCTAGGATGAGCTACTGCAGAGGAATCCGAAAGGCAAATAGATCCACAGATTAAAGAGTTTCATAGTACTATACAGAAAGGAGTAAGGAAGAGCGAAGGAGACAGACAAAAAAAGCAAAGATCTCTTGTAGCTTAACTGATCTTATTTGACTAGAATGTTTCAGGAACATAATTAAAACTTCTGAACACTTGCAATTCTAGGTTTCTTTTTCTTTTTCTAATTCACAGCGGAAAAGATAATAAAACTAGAGTAAACTGTAGAAGCTGAAAGTCTTCTACATGAATTGGTAGATTTGAACTACTATATTAAGTCCTAAGGATGACAGAGACAAATTTTATTATCTAATCATAAGAACCACAATTTATTTCAAACATCACAATTTAAGAATGCCCTACTTTGTTAGCTTAAAAAAAAAAAAATCTGGCACTGAGTGAATGGCAGTAAGTAGATCTACTTCTTACAGCAGAAGTAATCATTTCATCTGGAATTCCTGATATCATACATTTAAGGGAAGAAATGTTATTTCCTTCCTCTATTGCTCAATCATAAACCTAAGGGAAAAGCATGTCAGTTGAAAATTAAAAAAAAAAGTCATCCTCCAAGATAACCATTTTAGGTTAAATATGAGATTTCTGAGGCCTCATTCTCTTGGCATGTTATCACAGTTTACAATTAAAGCTAAAAAATTGTTCTGGTATTTCATGACATCAGGCAAATTCTTTCCTCTCCAGGCACGAGGCCAAAGACGACTACGGACAGGACACCTGGGCTTCTGCTGGACAGCCCTGCCCAGATCAAGCGCTCTGCCATTTGGACAAATCTTTAAAAAGATCATTTCTCTCTCCAACTACATTTCAAGAAGCGCGAGGTTAACTTAAGACAGCAGTAAGAAAAAAACTCCAGAAAGCTATTTATGGATCACACAAGCTCTTTCCAGTTCCATGACTTTATCTGCCAAGTAAACAATGGAAATCTTAAAAATTCAAAAAGAACATATTAAAAAAATCAAAATTAGCTCAGTATTGAGTAATGATATATGTTAATAAACAAAACTAAAGCTTCAAATCACTATGAACATAATTAAAGCACTATGAACATAATTAAAGCAACCACACACATAGTAGAGAAATACATACCTTCCTCCCCAAACTGATCATAAATGTCTCTCTTCTTGGGATCACTCAGCACTTCATAAGCTTCTGCAACCTCTTTGAATTTTTCTTCTGCGTGGGGAGATTTGTTCTTATCCGGGTGCCATTTAAGGGCTTGCTTTCTGTAAGCTTTTTTGATATCCTCTTCAGAAGCCCCTTTTTCAATTCCCAGAATAGAATAATAATCCTTCCCCATTCTGAGTTTTAGAGGAATTTATCTCTTTCTTGCTACAAAGAAACCAGTATCCAGTGTCTTAGCAATGTAGAGATGCTGCAGGAAGAAAAACAAGAGTCAAATTTGGAATGGAAACAACCAAAACTGTTACAAATCAGCAAGCTCTCCGATCCGCTAACGAAACGCTGGGAAGCCTGTCCCTCTTCCCTTCCTCCCCCGTTGCTCATTTATAAATAATTACGCACAGTGGACAGGCCAGGGCCCGGCGCAGTGCCCTCCCACGCGCACTACGTGTCTCCGCTCTTTCTAGAACGGCGGCTCCAGCGCACGTCACTTCCCCGGCCGCCGGCCCGGCCTTCGCTCCCGCACAATCACGCAGAGCCCTTCGCTTCCACCGCTCCCCCCGCGAGGGGCGAGCGGGGTTGGGGGTGTCACAGGGCAGAACAGGGCCAGGACGCCCTGCTGAAACCACGGAGGTCTAAACGCACAACTGCCTCAAGAAGGCGGCTGCAGCCCTCACGAGAACGGCGCCAGTATTTGGCTTTGCAGTTTCTATAGAAACTGCTGTAAATAACAGCGTGCCCAACATGTCACCAGCATGATTTTGTACCTTTGCCAGCAAGGATTACAAAGTGCTTTACATTCCAGTTAGTTCCAAGGCTCAAAAAGTTAACTTCTTTTGTTTAAAAATAAAATTAAGCCTCCCTCAAACAGAGTCAGTTAGAGCCAGGCACCAGTCAGCAAGCAGTAAGAAACTAAATCTAAGCCAACATACAAAGCAGTTTAGTACAGCTCAGCTCAAGCCACTCAGCAGAGCAGTCCTTTTTCTCTCTGTACGCAGAAGATATACCAAGACTACTGCACATGTACCAAAATACCAAGCAAACAGCTTTCAACAGAGGGAATGGTATCAGTTTTCAGCCTGCAAGATTTCTTTCAGCCCCGAGTTAAGAATTACAAATCAAGACATTATTCTTGTAAAGGAGACAAGCTTTACAACTGATTATTGTAGCTTCCAGGAAGGATACATTAAAATATACCAGCTCTGGGCATGCTAAAAGCAGGGGGAAGATACTTCTATTAGGTTCAATTCTCTTTTTCCTAAAGACAAGACGTTGTTTAAGGAAGACAGCACACAGCAGCCAAAGTACCCTCAAATTCAAGTGGGGAACATTAACCTCTTGATTTAGATGGTATTTTCACACCCTGCCGCATCATGATCTATGAACCTAAACGGCAATTCAGCTTCACCACTGTAAGCATAACAAGATCGAGATGCTTTTTCAATGTTGCAGGAAAACCAGCAACACAATGTTATTTTATTTTGCTCAGTTATGCTCCTGCTGTATAGTTTGAGGTGCCCATGACAGGTCATAATTTACACTGCTTGAATTATCCCACCAGCAGGCACATGAGATGTACCCCATATTTGTTTTGTCATGCTGGTGGGTAACAGTACTGGCAGAGCAGCTACAGCAGCACTTACTCCCAGAGCAGTATTTTTCATGAGGTTTTTCCAAAACCTCTGGTCAACAGAAATGGCAGAGAACACAAGTACTAACTTAAAAGCAAGGCATAAGAACTTTTCCTTTGGGAATATTAAATACAAATTTACTTTTTCAACATCAAAATACCCTAAGAGTTCCAATTTAGCCAGGGTTAAGTAGTAAAACAAATTAATTTCTATTTCATTTAATTAAAAACTTCAGATCTCTTTAACCAAAAGTTTATTTCCCTACTATGTCAAAGCTTACAGACCAAGTTATTGCTTCTACTTCCTGTAGATTTTACAGCCTGGAACCTCCCAAGGACAATGGGATAACCTGAGCACCTTCTTCCAGCAATCAAATTGCTTCTTTCTGCCCATGGTATGCCCTTTCCTTGTATCTTTTTAAGACAAAAGGATGTTCTATGCCTTTATCTTTTATCAAAGACAGACCTTTGGTAGGCTACAGTAAATCAATCAGACACTCCCTCCTTTAAAGAATTTTTAATATGTAGGTGAGAAACAACTTTCCTTCAGAATAAGTGGAAAGAAAAATTACCAGAAGTTTTCTTTCTACCAGTGAGCACAGTACAAGCATCGGATGGTGCTAATGATCACTCGGCAGCACCAGATCCTACTGGCACTTCCTCAGACAGCAGAATCCTGTTAAGTAGGTTGTAAATTTTTATTTCTACTTAATTCTGCCAATCGCCCCATATTAGAAGAGTTTGTGCCCTACCATGGGATATTCCTCCTCTTCAGGGACATTTGTCAGTAAGAACATTTCCCAGAATCGCTGCACTTCGGCCACCCTCTGCTTCAGAGGTTGGTCAGCACTTTGAGGTACCTGCATTGCGCAAGGAGATGAATATTCTGGGCTTACAATCAGATTTGCAATTCATGCAAGCCAGCTTCTGACGCTGCATTTATGATGCTGAAGTATTAAGATGTCAAAGGAGGAAAGACACCATCCACCTGCTTATCCAGATAACATACTTAATCAAGACCACATCTTCTACACAATACAAAACACAGAAAATTCTACAGTTATTTTTCAAATAAAGTCTGTGTATTATTTTTGTTTTCCTAGATTCTGCCAGAATGTTGCTCCTCATCTATGTGATATTCCTGAAGACATGTTAGCTACCAACTACATATTTGGAGCCAGTAGGTCTCATGATAGACAGCATGTTCTGCAATTCTTACAAGTCACTTTAGGGTACTCAGTATACACGAGAGTCAGAAGCGTATACACGCATTTGTTCAGCTCTTCCCTATGCCTCTTATTTGTCAGAGATCAGCAGCTGCCTTCGTGTCACACACAGCTGAACTGAAGATGCCTTGAAGGTTGTCAAAACCTTACATCTCCAAGTCAGCCTTACATGTCTGCATCAAATGGAGTAAAGCAACACAACAAGAACTGCTCTATTTATTCCTTGACTGGCATGTTGCATGGCTCCTAACAGCACATTCTGACTAGGTAATTACCAAGCATACAGATTATTAGCTTTTTGTCTCAATATTATCTATTTAAAATCAATCCCTAATCTGGAATTCTGAGTTACAGGAACTACCTGTTTTTACAAAGAGATGAGGGCTATCAAGCTGGCATTTGGAGGAGCATTGCAAGTCAGCATGTATTCTCCAGTATCTGAAAATTCCAATTAGTCTACAGTGTAAACCAAGACACAAATAATAAAACAAGAAGTTCAAGCTTTTTGGAAACACCTGGAAAGAAGTTGCATCTTCAACTGTATCATATTGCTAAAGAAATTTAACAGTTTAAGGTAAGTCATCATTGATCATCATTCAGAAAGACTGAACAAGACTGCTTTTGAAATCACTGAATCATTTATCTACAGAATGTTATTTGTTCTTTGATCAAACAAAAGGTAGCAGTTAGGACGGTACTAGACTTTGCTTTTTACATAAGAGGGTTTTTATGCTTATGAAATATACACAAATAAGCTGAAAATTGTCTTTCAACAGTTCTCCACTTCTGCAGTGGAGTGGCACTACTCAGATTCAGCATTTCACCTGTTACTTTAAAGAAATTATTCCTTTACTGAAATATTGTCTTTTCCTATACACTTTCTCAAGAACCAGAGCCTTACTCACGTGCATATAGGTGGGTACAATGTGACTTGACTTTGGAAGAGCAGTGTGAGAAAGGTTATTCCACCTCCAGATCTTGGAATAGTTGCTTTATTTAAAATTTTAATCCCTCTTTTAAAGAATCCTTCACAGAAACTGTTCAAAGAAGTTAGGCTACAACCAAAGAAATATTCACAATAATTCCTTGAACTTGAACTCTGTAATAAGCACCTGCACAAGGTTATTTTAGGTAGAAGACTAAGAATGATGTCATTATCCTGCAGAAAAGTAAACAGTGAAAAAAATCATATTTCCTTTAAAAAAAATACAAAATAAACCACTTAAGCATTCCTTACCTATTTAATCTCAGAAAAAGGAATAATAAAAAAAAAACAGCAAAAACAAGAAAACCCCACACAGAGGCAGATCACAGAGCAAGTTAAAGAGCAAACAAATCCACAAAGGCAAATTCCACACAGATCACAACTATAAATATACATGTGCACGTAAATGTCAAGGCAGAGGAGCCAAATCCCCAGCCAGAAAAAGCTCTTTCCCAACTAAGTATCATAATATTTGCAAGGCCACGTGAACGAATGGAATAAGCTGACATTTGTCTACCAGAGGCAGAAACAAACACATCCATATACAATAGTAAATATTCTGCAACAGCACCAAATACTTTTCCAGAGGAAAAGCCTCAGCATCTTTAACTGCACCTAGCTGACTGAGCTACATCTATATTTCCAATAAGATGAATAAGACTTTGTACATACAAAAACCATATTTGTGAATGTGTCACAGTGGTTTGCTCAAGAAATATTCAGAAGCTGGATTCATCTACAGAAACTTATTTGGAGTCTGGGGAAGTGATAGATAGCTGAAAACACTTTTTTTTTTCCCATAGCCAGAGCAACATGAAGTGACATGTGCAGACTGTAACACCTCTTGTGAATCAGTTAACAGCCCAAGCTTCATTTAATCATAACTAAATTTATCAACTTTTTACTTCAGTTCTCTCCAGAGATGTGCTGCTGTGCTGGAAGTGGAAGACCTATTGCAGACAAATATTACGGGGCTCAATTTCATATTTAAATTAATAATCACATTAGAAAGTGAAATATGAAATACATGCAAAGCTTGTATGAACAACAGTAGAATTATCAAGTTATAACAGATGGTTACCTAACAGCCATTTACCATTGCTAAACAGCATACTTGTGAAATACAAAATAACTGCTTAGTTACTCATGGCAGGCATTGTTTGAGATGCTCTAGTCTAAACCATTCCAGTTGAAATGCACCATGAAATTTCTATCCTAGTTTGTGTGAATGAAATACACCAATTTCTTTCCTAGAGGCACATAATTGGAGTGCAGTTTTCTTAGCACTTTGAAGACTTGACAGAAAACACACATTAAGATATTTTGATACAATTCACTGACAGTTGAAGCTTACTTTAACAGGGTTCGTTGACTTCTGATTTGCTGACACAATAAAAATAACAGACTTAGAGAGGTAATTTATAATCATGCATTATGAAAATAGCTAACTTGCATTAGAGATATACCTAAATCACCGCAAACAGTACTTGACAGGAA